GAGAGAGAGAGATGGATATGGGTGGATAGAGACATTGAGATAGATAGAGAGAAAGAAAGAGAGAGAAAGAAAGGAAGAAAAGACCCACCTATGTTAATGGTTTCTATCTCCTTGATCCTTTCGGGGAAAAACTTTCCGAGCCGGAGTTTTGATCCAATTGTGTACTCTTCCAGGTCTTTCTTTATCTTCTTGAACGTCTCCTGTACCTCCTTCATCCTCTTCTCCCCCCGTCTTTTTTCAAACTCTTCCATAGCTTCAGCAATGCCTCGTTCTTCGGCGTCATCGTCCCAACGTTCGTGCCACACCACCGGGACCTCCTGAGCCGAGGTTAAATACAATTAACAGCATGGCCATTACCAATGCAAAATAACTCAATTCTGTCAAAAGCTTCTGTCATACATTCAACGTTATCCTTTAAGGCAATGGTCTAGTCACACAAAGCAGAAAGTTCATATAAAGGAAGGACAGGAACAAAATAAATGTACATGTTAACTGTGATACGTTACTTGTGATTATATTTGGCATTTACGTTCATCTATGTTGTCTCTACAGCCCGGGCTAACTTGATAACCAATTCAACGGAGTGGGGCTAAAATGAGAATCTACCCAGCTGTCTTAAATGAATAAGTTGGTAAATAAATCTCTCTTCACATTATTTCTAAACATGACACCGGTATCTAAAAGAATACTACGTCTCTGAAACTTACCTTAGATTCTGACTCTCCCATTCTTTGTAAAATTGATGGTTTCTTTGCACCCTGAAAAGATGTGAATTGTATAAGAAAAAAGGTCGCCTCCGAAAACAAAGCATACAAATGATTTAGACTAAGTTGGCTCAGCCCGATTCTACCCACCTCAATCGGGTTTGAAAAGAGGCATCCAGAAAAGGAAACTCGACTAATAACAGACTAAATTTCCAGCCAAATGTTCAGCATCCACCACATATAGACTTGTTGACGTTCAATATATTCTATTAATAGAAATGACGACCAGTCCCATGAGTTCTCTGTGATAGCTTCTATTCGCCAGCTTCAGTACCATTACGGATGCTTCCTGACCCCTGTATAGAAGGCTTTGTGAAGGGGTGAATACATATTAAGACAGTTGATTAAGAGACCGGCTGAGGCTTTACCGATGCCTAAGTATATCGTCAGATCGGGCCCAGTATATCTTAATTGGGAAAGTGGAAGGTTTCTTTTTTCCTCTTGTTTCAGAAACCCTATTTACATTTACAAATATTTTACTGGATTTAAAAACGGACGTGATAGAAGATAAAATCAATATTTGTGAACAGGGATAGAATTTTTTTTCATCCAACAATATCCTATCCCACTTCCTAACACACTCACTCATGCAACAAATGGAAGGGTGTGTTGACAGGTTCACCTGCAACGTAGCTTTATGCGCAAGTACTAATGTAGTCAGTTTGTCGATACGACAATTTCAAGTAAAACGGGGAGACGAATTCAATGAGTGTTAAATAGCCATGCATACCTAATCTTATAATAGTTATATTTTATAAAGTAAGGACAGAATTTCGCTCACCGGGGAAAATGGAAATGACAAGGCGCTGTCTCTGTCTGAGGTACACGACAGTAACTTTTGCCCAGGCCGAATCCTTCCTTTTGTGATCCGTACTAGCTGTGGATCAGTCCTTTTTTAACTGAAAAATGTAAAACTCTAGCTTACAAATAGACAAACGAAGACGCTTTGTGGTGCACATACACAAAAAAATGCAGAGGGGGCTGTGACATGCGCACTAACAACAATGTGAAACGATCCGAAACCTTTTCGAGGAATTTCTATTGATCGGTTGACTGACCCCCACAAACGCCCACAGACACACTGTGCCCGCGGCGCTAGGAAAGCTGTGTGTCCATAACCGTGTCCTGCGTTGTTTGTATCAGCTGGTATCAACTACCCAAAATATAACCTGGAACCTGATTTGCACTTGTAAAACGGGAAAATGGGGAATGGGGTAAGTATTATTTTCATTATTTGGAACACAGTCTGTTGCCTCAGCGACCTAACGCAGTACTTGTATTTGCTATTTTATTGGATCCGATTGGCATACTACGATGGAGCAGCGTATACATATACCATACTGCGGTGTTTTGTCGAATAAATCATTAAAAAAATTATTCCATGTATGCTTATCTTATTATATTATCCACTGGAAGGCAATATGTAATTTTTTTTATTGCACTGTCTTTTTAGGAGAGCACTCCGACTGTGGAGTATGCCAACAAATACAGGGACGTCACAGAGAAAAAGGTCAAAGAGGCCGCGGAGGAGAAGAGACGAGAATACGAGGAGCAGGAGAGCGAAGAAGACGCGCGGCTCAGACAGCTGCAAGAGGAAGCCCGCACCAGGAGGGTGAAGCTACTTGATTATAGCTTTGGGGATGTCCACGGGCCACGCTACTTCGCCAAAGTTGACATCAGTGACATGAAAGAGGGAGGTCTAAGGATCGGGTTGTTCGGACCATCTGGATCAGGAAAAAGCAGCTTCATCAACACGTGCGAGATGGCTCTGAAGCCAGGCCTTCGGAAAGGCAAGAAAGATAACTAAGTAGCCCTTTTATTGGGAAATTTGGTTAACCCAAGTGTCAGATGTGTAACATTATAGAATACGGAATTGAATATTCACACATTTCAATATCATGATGCGTTGGCAATGTAGGAATATTCAGGTTTCATTTGGTTGACATGGCACTCTTTTGTTGTGAGGCTATTCTGGGATAATAAATTATTTCATAATAAATCAAAAACAATATGTTATATGTAATGCAATTAACAATTTTTCTGCAGGAACTGCAGATATTCAATCTGGCGGTGGGGAGGGTACCATCACCATTCAAAAGTTCCTGGACGACCTTGATAATGACTTCCATCTTGTCGACACTCGAGGATTCTTCAAACATGACGCTGAGGAGTTTGCAGCGCTAACCAACATCGTCTTTGGACGGATCAAACCTGACCAGGTATGAAGGAGGTGTTACGTTGCGTTGCACATTGCAATTTGAAAAACATCAGTCAATACGTATAGTAGGTAATCTCTCCTTTCTTCTTTGTCAATAACGTCAATCTACAGAAAATCAAATTTGAAGTGAATGCAGACAACGCAGACTCGGAGGAGTATTTCCGCAACTGGCTCCACGCTATCATCATAGTTCTGTCGGCGGATGACCCTCGTCTAAGAAATGGCCACACTCACCTGGACAATTTGAATATTGTGCGCGAGTTTATGCGCCCTAGAGGTACTGTATGTTTATGTTTATTTCACAAATACATGTTCGCCTTTTTTGTATGATTTTTAGTTTTATTTCATGTACTTCTAAAACATAAACATGATGCAGTTTTTAAAGCATGTTTTTTTTCGTAGGAATAGCACCGATTACGGTAATCACTCATCGCGACAGAATTGGTGAAAGTCAGGAAGAGCTGGAGGATGTCTTGGCCAAGGCATCCGCGGCAACCGGCAGCGCCCGAGACCACACTTTCTTTGTTACCAACTACCACGTAGACAAGAAGGAAAGGGGTCAGTAGAAAAGAAATGGAAAATTATGGAAACATGCTATTATTTTATACACAACTATCTCCATAAAATGTGATTACCTGTAGCTTTTGAAACAAGAAATAGAAAGTTCCATATCTCTGTAATGTTTTATAGCTGTTGAAATTTTTGTTTTGTAAATTATTATGAATATTTTGCTGTGCATATTTCACTGTCATCCAGCACCCTGTCCCATGTACTGCACGTACCGTATCTTACTCTCAATATTTGTCTCCTACATGTACATTAGTTCATACTTTAGCGAAGGAACAGAACAATTTTTTTCTGAATAACAGAATAATTTTCTGCTCTCTGATCTTAGATTACAACACTGACATCGAAGCCATGAAAGTCATGAGGTCGGCACTAATGGTTGCGGAGAGATACGTGAAGATCCACAAGCAACAAGAGCAGTACAAGAGGGAGAGCGGAGTGACGGGAAATCAGGCAGGTGAGAAACAATAATAATTGTGATAGAAACACGCTTCTTTTGTTTCAATCTTAACTTAGTAAATCCGGTTTCAGTTGAAAGCATGCATTGCATAGACGTTAGTATATAAGGAACAACTAAACGAAGAGAATGATATTAGTATGATCATTTCAACAATTTCATCCTTAAATTTCACCTTATCTTGTAATTTCCTGTTGATACTTATGGTTATTACCAAAGAGAAAGATGATTAAACCACAATACTATTCTTATATAGGACCCCAAGAAACTGTGGAAGACTTTTTTCGTCGCCTGTCTTCGAAGAAACACATCCCGGTAAGTACAAGAATATGTATTTGCATTTTTTTTGTATTTTTGATGCTTCTGAATTGTGTGAATTGCACGTATCAGAATAGTTGAAGCAAGCGTTTTATATGCTAATTATAAATTGACAAGAGAAAAGCCAGGTAGGGGCCAACATCGAAGTCAGGCATGACAGTAAGACATCAACTAGGTGAAAAATACAGTCCAGTAAAGCGTGTATGGCATTACCAATGCGCAATGCAAAACAAAGTTGTCCTGTTTTGCATTCTGCAGTTTGACCGATTACAACCCATCATTGACAACCTGAAGAAAGAAGACATCACCACGTCCAAGTCCCTGAGTGACAACTGGTCAGACGTCCAGGGAGAACTGCCAATGAGCGAGCGGATGAAAGGCTACATCGACAAGGAACTAGCTGACACATTCAAAGAACTGACTCTATAAGTACTGCACAGAGGCACAAAGATGCCAGATGCTCAAGTTAAGGAACGGCTACCAATAATTGTTTTGTTGAATGTGTTTGTGTATATACAGGGTTCAACTGTGTTTGCTGATGCAACATTATAATAAATTGCATGAGGTATGTTCAGCAAGGAAGCAGTATTGATTCAATATGAGTCCATTAGAGATATGCACCAATGTAGAAGGGTCGATGATTTGTATTTTCTCACTATTAAGATATAATATTTGACAGCCCATACCTTAGGTGGTAATGGGTGATACAAACTTTATGATATAGGAAATGTAAATGTAAGGATTTATTGTTACAGCAGTACTACCGAATGTAATGCATGGGAATATAGGAAAGACACTGAATGCAACGATTTGGATAAGTGGTGGAAATCCATACATTTCCCGATCAATTTTGAAGTCAATGTAAACATTCCTTTCTTGTCGTGGTACCAAAATCCTGTACGATGGTATAATTCAATTAAATAGTTAGGCAAGTTTAGCATAGAATGTTTTGCCAAAGTGCATTACAGCGTATACACGTATACATGCAATACTTGTGTACCTGTATCTGTATAGTTGGTACAACCAACTTTTGGCGTAACACACCAGCTTCGTGTGCACGCGGCGCGGCGGCAGCTTGCTATATTACACCGAACGTGTTTAAAACTGTCTTATGATAAAGCCCCTATTGTACCTGATTTCACCATTCTATAGCCTTTAAACACCTTAGGCAAATAACGCTGGTACTTGACGACATGGCTATCTTTTTCTATTTTCTAAGTTGGTATTGGGTACTAAGTAGTTGGTACGTCCACCGATCTCTTAGTAATTTTGTACATCATGTATCATCTCGACATTTGTCGTCTGTCATCAAGTGACACCCACTGTAGGTTTCAATACGATTACGTACAGAACCGTCTGTCGAAAGTGAAACCACCAAGCAAGATCGTTGATGGATTGTTGGTTCTTATCTCTTGTGCTGCGCTATTAATATTTTATGCACGCTACCCACAGACAAAACAACTTTGGAAAGCTCGACCACAAAATTGCATGACTTCATACTATTACTGTATGAATAATTGTCAACATCTGACCTGTACTTAGCCTAGTGGAGCATAAATGTACAATAAAGGTATTCATTTCTTGTTAGTCACGCTTGTCTAAGCTTACATTGGCACGAGTTTAACACTGAAAAAGCGGGGATACATACATGTATTTATGCTCCCCATTCTGGTCTGGGTTTCTTTGCGTAAATTCCAACCTCCGTTGAGGGCCAAGGAAAGAGTGACGATGAGCTTAAGTAAGATCAACTTTCTTAAAACGTTTCTTAAAGATTACACTTTGGGAGATATTACAGGGAGTTTTCCAGACGCGAAGGAAGGGGAAATGAAAGACTTCGACGGCGTGCGGATAGGTCTGTTCGGTATAACAGGGTCTGGGAAAAGCTCGTTCATTAACTCAGTATTCATGGCTCTGCATGGTGAGGACGAGGGACCGGCCGTAATACAGAGTACCGGCGCCGAAGGTGGGTGATTTCACGATAACTAAATGGAATCCTCATCAAGTTTATGAATGATTGTGCAAACGAATTTTAGACCATTTTGTATTGATTGTTGTCTATTTCTGATTTCTTTGTCCGTTTGGAAACAAAGTATAATTCTCGCGTCAGGAACAATAATTTTGGAAGCCTTACCAGTTACGGATGGGTTCACCCTCCTGGACACACGGGGCTTTGGCCTCCTTGGTGGAGACGCCGAGAAGGAAATACTGGCCATTTTAAACGGTGACATCAAAGACGAAAGCGGCATCGACCGAGGTTTGTTATAATGCCGTTCGATACAACATTTAATATGACAGTGCCCATGCAAGCTATCATTAACACTAGAAAATAGCGAGAGTAAAGCAACCGTATTACAGCATCGCAGACGTAATTTTTTTTTCTCGACCGAGCACCCCATTTTTGACATTAGTTGATACTTTGAGTCTTACAACACAAAATACACCACTTTTTCCCGATCTGTGGTAGGTTTAGTAAGTGAAGTAACGTATGCACTTGAAAAAATATCGCCCGTTATTTCGTTATGGCTTACACAAAATGTACATAAAAGGTAATAAGGACAACACTGTTATTTTTCATTTTGTTAACATATTTGACTACACATGCCTTTTAAATCTACAAGTATTTCATTTCTAGCACGATTAACTTCCATGAAGTTCGCATTTTCAAAAACATTAGATCGAGAGAGATAGGGAGAGAGTGTGTGCGTGCGTGTGTGTGTGTGTGTGTGTGTGTGTGTGTGTGTGTGTGTATGTGTGTGTGTGTGTGCGTGTGTGTGTGTGTCTGTCTGTGTGTGTCCCTTTATGTATTTGTAACGTTATACATATCATCCTGGTGGCAGACAAGACCGTGAAAACGTCGCTGACAGGAGTGGGTACAGTACTGAGGGACGAGACTCACGTCGTGCTGTGGTTCGTGAAGGCTAACGACCCTCGGCTGCACAAAGGCGCCTACAGATGTCACATGGACTTCCTACGCCAACAGCTCTTACGAAGAGGTCAGTGATGTTCTTTTACCTCTCTTCTGGGCAGTGATGCATCACAAATGAGATTTAAGCAACAGTCTGTTCCCCTTTTTCACCAGCGAAATTTACCATTTTTTGTTCTCGGCTCTAGTTTGTTTTTGTAAACGGCATCAGATCATCGGAATTTGTGTAACTTTGCATACAAAGATTGTCTGGTAGGAATGTTAGGAACATCAATGAAAAGCGATCCAAGAATAATCTTATCTTTTCGTAAATCATACTGACAAAAATGAACGAACGAACGAATTATTGTGATGTACATCTAAATGACTCTCTATTGTTCCAGGTGTAGGAACTATGACCATCCTCACGCACGAAGACGAGTTGGGCGTCCAAAGGTACATCCCTGCTGAGAGGAAGAAGCTCGCCGATGCCGCACGGGAGATCACCGGCAGCATTCCGGACAATACCTACTTCCTTGCAAACCACGTAAAAGGACAGGAATTCTCCATTGAAAACAGAGTTAAGGTTCTTGAAATAATTAAACGGTCACTAGAGCTCGCAGAGAGCACCATCAAGACAAGACAGACAAAGAGAAAGATACATGCAATGATGTCAAACCGTTAGCCTGTGTATACGTGCGTACGTATTGCATTGTTAAAAGTGCACATATCACAACAGATATCAGCTTGAATAAAAATCTTGTGCAATGACATGGACATTTTGATGTAAAAGATGTACATTATTGTATATAACATAAATGTCACAAATAAACTTGCTATTGTATATAGCATGTTTATTCAAGACATTTTATTATCAAAATGATGAAACCTGGTGAAACATTTTCTAAAACGAACTTTGAATGAGACAGTTTTACCCTTGTGTATTCCATATGAAGCTATTGAGTTTTAATAAAAGAATGGAAAAGCAACAACATTCCGTGAATGCAATCTCTGTTGTATTCGTGGTCTACTGAGAAGTAGTACAGTCTACTTTTATATATAATGTTGTTAGTTTTAATTGCTTTATGTAAAGGGATTTCTGTAAACAAGTTCTGTGATGATGATATAGTTTGCATGTCTAATAGTATATAGGTTATACCGCTGATGTTAATGTATAAAAGTTGGTGAAAAACTAAAGTAAAATATCTTTAGTAGGCGTGTCTTGGTTGCGTACTGTCTAGTCTAGGTACCCCATCGTTATAGAAATTTAGACCCTTGCTAGAGATTTGATCCTAAAACTTATGTGGAGGAGTTTTTTCTTACCCTATTGTGTTGCAAAGTGGGGAAGGCCCTTGGAACTTCGACTCGAAGCCAAACCAAGATGTTGCCCAACCAATATGATTCTTTTGTTTATACAGTATAGGGGTACGTACTGCTCGACCCAATGCTAGAACAATAGTGCATTGATAACTCCCTTAAGACAAACCGATGTTCACTTGGCATTCTTGGAAAATTATGAAAAGATATATTTGTAAAACAAGCTACCTTTCCTGTAGGCTGACTACATATTATTGCATTGTGTTCGGTACTGCAGTTTTTTCTGCCTCGGCGCCTGTTTGTTATTGTTGTTAGGGCCAACACCTAACAAATACACTCTTACATATGGCATTCAGGCCTGCATCGGGGATAACCTACTTTGGTGGGGATGTTCACTACGTATTCGTGGAAAAGACCGACATATTTGTAAAATATTCAGAATTCCAGACTATTCAGAATACCCCACCCACGTCAAACCTCGAACACACAAATGAAATGGTCCCTTTGGTCAAAATCTTTGCCATTTGACGAATGCACGGGGACCAACGATTGAATGAATATAATGTAATTTCATAGCCCGAATTCTAGGGGAAAAGTATGCATGCATATCCGTATACTTACGTATATGCATCGTCATTAATATATGCTGATGGTATGTAACGACCTGAAAAGTAGTTTGTGGAGTACTGTATATTGCATGTTATCTAAGGAGCCAAAGGAGAAGAAGCAATTTCAACAAAACCAAATATCAGGTATATAACAAGAACCAAGAAGTAAAACCTTAAAATCACAATTCCTTCTGTTTTGCTCAAATACATGAATCGTGCATTTTCTCGTCCTATTACCCCTATATCATAGAATGAAAGTGTGTTTTACAATCATTGGTAAACTTTCAATCATCTAGACATCTTTGAAATATTGCAAAATGATACATGTATGGAATATGAACCATCAAACCTAATGACCTCTGAAAGTACAATAACAACCTGCTGAATTGGGGACTCACGCTCACCGCAAATGAGACTGATAAGCAAGAACAGGATTTGAAATAAAAAAGCGAAATATTTTCAATGGTAGTTCAAAAGGATGTAAAACAACAAACAAGACGAAGGTACTAAGTATTGCTTCAGGTGGAAAAAACGTATATATTTATATTTCGTCAAAAAAACACAAGACACACAGGACCAAACCAGGTTTATCTTCAAGTTTTATATGACTTTGTAATGTGCGTTTTAGTTGTGATCACAGGCAGTCAAATGGCTAGCAACCTTTTTCCCTAGGGAGGGTGAACAAGTGACGATATTAGCACAATTGTGAAACCAAACCGTCACCGCATTGTTAATGTTGTGGCACGTGTATGATGTATGTTCTACATTATACATAATTTATAGAGGCTTTGTAAAACATTGCAATCATACTAAGTGGCACAACTCTCATGTCAAAGAAATTTGTGCACTGAATAGGAAACTTTGACCTTAGAAAGTGAAAGGGTAACATACACAAAAGATGACTCAGACTCATTGTATGTACGACACACCCAGACCATGTACATGTAAAAAAATTATCCAAATATTTACACGTGTACAAAGTACATTATCAGTATGGTTACTGATGGCAAGTAAACCTAACAAGAGACCCCTTCTAAGAGACAAAACTCATACAAAGACACACTACCAAGAAAGGAGCGAAACTTAAAGTCCCAGAACATTCCAGAAAAAAAGTGTTGCTCCACACAGCTGTATGTATTTTGCATGAACTAGTAAATTTGGCCCTGTAAATTTTGACTTCACGACATATGATAAACTTTATTGCACAACCTTTGTACGAGATATAGCGCATACCATCTACCAAATTAAAAACAATTATTCTAAGTTTTTGTCTTATTTTGTCAAACAGGGAATGATTACGTCACAAGGGTACTGACCGGTCGTTGCGTTTGTTATTGTTGTCAGGGTCAACAATTCTCTCTTCCTGATGCCATTCAGGCCTGCATCGGGAATAAACTATTTTCGGGGATGTTTACTAGGCGTTCGTGAAAAAATTAAAACAGACATATTTGTGAAATACATGTATTTGTAAACCGTAACTCTCGCGAGATCGCGTTGTGAAGTGATTGGTCATTAATTATCCTGATGAAGGCGACAGTGGTTGCTGAAAATTTGATCTCTTTGTAAACTGTGTGCTGGAATAAAGTTCAATGTTTTACTAGGAAATTATACTATTAGGCTTCGCCTCAGGGGCATTACACAAACGGCAATCAGAATACAGAATCCTGGATAACAGGCTGTTATATATCTATAAGCTCATTTAATACGTACAAAATGGGGCCAAACCTTTCTTACTTTGTTGAAATTACATTAATGTTATTAACAGAATGTAGAGAAATGTAGTTAAATGGGACATTTTAACAGTTTTACGAAAGTACGAATGAATGAATGAATAAATGAATGAATGAATTATGCCTTTTTTACGCGTCGTACGTGTACAAGTATTAGGCCTCATCAGGTACAAAAACATCCATTCACAAGGAAAATTGGCTTAGAGCCAATAGCACGTACCCCCGCGGTTTCGGTGACGTAAGGCCTCTCGGTACCATAATTTGCATCATTGTTGTAGAGAGACAGCGAGTGTGTGCCCATCGTTACCTCTCGGCAGCCATGGCGCCCTCAGACAAATCTAAGTCGAACGTTCTCATCATCAACTGCGATGGGACGTACCCGCTAGATTCCGTGAATGAGTTGGTCCAGGAATCGTCTAACGCTACCGGTGTTGTGACGACAATCGAGCTAATGCAGCTTGCGCTGCCAAACCTGGCAGAGATCAGCGAGGAAGTGAAAGGAAAACAACTTCTGTGCGCCATTCTGGTTCTCAACGCCCATGAGTCTCGTCTTTCTATAAACGAGAAAAACGCAGGAATCGGCTACGCCGTTCTCTATAGGGCTCTACGAGAGGCCTCGGATGGTAAGAATATGCGTAGTTTACTCTACAATCGCTTTAGGTTATATTAGACAGCTTAACCGGCGTACATATTTGTGTAAAATATACTCCAAACTTGTGCAAGTACTGCTTGTGTGAGTAGAAATAATGCACAGGTAAATTTTAGTGCCCTGATATCAGAAGAATGGGTAAATATTGTTTAATCTAATGCCACTAGTTGTCTTACATTTACAAGCTTAGTGTGCAATTGTGTAAGGAGATAATCGCATGCAAAGTACCATTGCATATTTGGGAAGGGTAATTTATTTGTTGCGTTCTACCTTCCAGGGCGAGTACTTGTTGTGATCGGCGCAGACGAAAAGTCCTCGGCGGCAGACCGGAAAGTCGTCTCCAACTGGGTCCGCTACAAAGTCGCGTCGCAGTTTGAAGAGGAGTATCTCAACGGCAAACGGGGTTTTGTATTCTCTTGGGGAAAGACATACCATCCCGTGCACAAAGAAGCGTTTCAACAGTACCTGGGCGCCATCGGCAGTGGCAAGGACGGGTTAGACAAACCGTTCTCACCGGCCCCCATTCAGCGTCCTCCGAAAGATCAGGCGGTCACGAAACAACCAACAAAACAACTAGAGGAACAAGGGGAGGCATCTCCGCCGATGACTTCAGCTGTCAGCCAGACCATTTCAGAGCCATCGTATACATCCGCTGACGGTTCGAACACAGGTATACCAGCAGAATCAACATACCCACCAACATCAACCAACTCAACTGATAATTGTGTTACCGAGCCAAACACACAGCCACCTAGTGACACTAAAGAAAAATCTACAAGACCACAAG